AACTTAATTATTATTATAATATAACATAAAAAATAAGTTAAAAATATTGTACATATTTTTTGTTAAAAAAATTAATAAATTTTTTATAAATATAAATATAAGTACGAATATATCTAATACCTAATAGAGATGAGAATAATAAAAATTACAAATCTATCATATATCGAGACAATAATAGAGGTGAATTTGAATCACAGAAATGAGGATAGACATCATGAAACGTATCCACCCGTCTGCCATGCCTATTTATCTGAATCCGAGTTAGTCTCAGAACACCATTTACAATTTAATGATTCATCATAATTTATCTTTATCTCCTAATCGTAACATACTAGTAGGTTAGTATAAATTTAGCATTGTTGAGCTGAGAATGGGATCAATGAGTAAAATAAGTAAAAGTAGAAAAGGGTTTGCGGTAAATGGGTCAGATGTGTACGTGACATGGCCGTACAATGTGCACCCAAAAAGGAATGGTTGGCCTTTGGAGTAAAATTGAGGTGCCGTCCATTTATTATTAATTATTTTGTGACACAGACAAAGAAACAGACACAGAGCAGGGACCGTTCCTTCGTACTTTGTACCCTCTTTCTTTAGTCGTTATCTTTATGTTTTTCGTCTTTTAATCCACACCATATCATCCGTATCCATGTGTTTTTCTTCTACTCACTTCATCATGAACAAGATTAAACCTTGTTACTCTCAGCCTCAGGTACCCTTCACTTAATTCTTCAGATTACAAACTCTTAAGAATTGCTACATAAATGAGAATATAATAAGGATTATTTCCACCCTGCCACAACACCACATTCTTCATTCTTCTAAATCGGAGTTGATTATGCTTCTATTTATCTTTGTACCTGTCTGAGGGTACACTCGTAGTCTTCTGTGGGGAAGGGCCGGACGAGAGCTTAAGATATATACTTCGGAGAAGGGGGAGGTACCTGCAAAAGGCACTCCGACGCTCAAGTCAGTATAAGTACGATTTCTCACAATAATTAATGAACAGTGACGTACCTCGATATAAGTGACCTATTTATACTTTTACAGGTGGGCCTTGTTAGTAGTGGGCCTCTCCTAATCTTACCAAATTAGGTAATACAACCCTAATCAGCCAATTGTGTCTTAATCATGTGCTTACCGCTATTAACCACGATCAGTATTATAATCCTTGCTTTGTTCTTCGGCATATCGCCGAACCGACAGGGTAAGGCTGTGTTGATCGTCTCGGCCGTTGGCCGGGCCGATACACATTTGATGTTGTTCTATTCGGTCGGCATTTGGCTGAACCGATACACTATATACTTACTATGATTCCACTCGTGTCGGCCTTACGCCGAGCCGACACTAGTATACCAGTGCCTTCGGCCTTCGGTTACAGACCGTGCCGATGGTAACGTTAAGACTGGGTAGCCTAGTTTGCCTGGGTATCTGACGAAACGGCACGTGTTGGGCCACGTGACCGATAAGGTCCTCCCGGTACACAAGCCCCCCAGCCTTGAGGCGTATGACGACGTAAAGGGTAAACGTGACTTTGCAGTTGTGGCAATTAAGTTTGGGTGTAGAATGTGAGGGGTTGTAACCGTTGGTCATTAATCGTGGGAACGTGAAGAGTTGTAACTGCTAAGCATTAATGACGTGTGCGAGGAGTTATGTAACATAAGATGAAAAGTTGTAAACGTTGTTGGAATTCCAAAGGTTATAACCGTTAGGTATTAATGGGGCATGCGAAAAGTTGCGCATCGTGAACCGTTGGATCTAAATGATCCAACGATATGCGATGAGGTGTGACTCTTGAAGTACTGGCCCTGGACGTCTATAAATAGGTACGTGGAGAGGGTTCCCAAAGATACGCATTTGTTGCTTGCTCCGAGCCGAAGTCATCTGAGTTGGTGCGCAAATATTTTTCGACAGCGATAGGTCAAGTTCAACAATCAGGTACGTGATGGCAAATTTAAATGTTGTTCATATTAACTCCTCCGGGGACGAAGGGGAATCTAGGCTGAGAGCGACACCGGACCGAGACGTCGTGTCGGCATCGGCTTCGAACGGGGAAGATCATGCCGAGTCCACTTCAGGGTCTTCCCGGTCGCAGAGTGGGAGTGCTTCTTCTTCGGCTATAGCGTACGATGATCATCCAAGCCGGGGAGGTGGATCGTCAAGGACTTTTGCTCCTATATCGACCCCTGGGTATTCGTGGGTGCACGGTGAGGTTGGTAACGTGTACTCTCGATATACTGACAAAAAGTCTCTTGTGAACTTTGTTTCGGCTGTGAAATTCTTAAATTTTCCCGAGGATGAGGAACCCTCTGCCATTTTCTTCCAGCCGTGCCGAGGTGATGGGGGGCCAAACATAGATTTCGTGTACCTGAGCCGAGGGTCGTCCAAATACGATTTCTTTTACGTATACGATTATATGTTTCGGGACCTGAAGACATCCCTTCCTTTTGATGATTATTTCATGGGTATACTTCGGCTTCTTAACGTGGCACCAAGTCAGCTTCATCCCAACACCTGGGCTGCCATGAAAGGGTTTAGACAGCTGTGCCTGGCTCTCGGCCTCCAACCTACCCCACACCTATTCTTATATTTTTACTCGTCTCGGCCTACTAAGAAGGCTAAATGGTTGTCATTGATTCGGCACCGTGATTGCTTGCTGGACCCCTTTACCACTTCTTATAAGAAATTCAAAGAGGGGTCCATGAAGGTGATGATTCGGCCAGAGACGGGAAATAAATATTTCTTTGATGCCGAAGGAAACTCTCTTTTTTCGTTGTACTGGACTCGGAAGCCGAGGAAGTATGACACGGTGTCCAAGTCTCGCATGTCCTCGGAGGAGAGATCTAGCTTGAATTTTTTGGAGAAGTTGCCTCGGCCTTTACCATGCCGTCCTCTGGTCCGATTGTTTGAATCGGCCAACGTAGTTGAAGAACTGATTGGTACAGTACCTTTCTTACTTGTTTAAATTCTTGCGTTATCATTGATTTTGACTAATGATGTGTAGGTATAATGACGGATCATGGAGATGACGATCTGGACATCCATACGCTGATCAGGAACCAAGTGGCTGCGACCACTGGGAACAAGGCCCCGGCTGGCGCGCTCGGGAATCAGCCAACTGTCCAAGGTGGCGCGGCGGGACCAATTGTCAGGCCGAAGAAGCCCACTCGGCCTCAGCCTGAAAAAAGAAGGCCTGACTCAAGGGTCGAGGAAGAGAGCCGTCGGGCCAAGCAGCGCCGAGTGGCCGGGCCTCCTTTGCCAGAGGGCTTGGCTGCGCCAAGTTTCTTAGCCGGCAATGTTAATGCTCAGGATTTTCTGAGTCAAGACTTGACTTCCGAGGCAGGTCAAGGGATGCTGAGCCGTATGACTGCGGCTCATAAATGGAGCTTCTTCTGTGAGTTCCAAGTACGCACCGTGGCCATGGCGCAAAGCATTGTCATGGAGCCGAACAGCGAGGTCGATGGATTGCGTCGGCAGCTTGCTGAGCAAGAGAAGTCTCTTCGAGAGACGCTGGCGGCGCTGACTGACGCCCAAACGGCCAACAACAAATTCCAGGCCGAAATGGACCGCCGGGGGCGAACCGCCGACAACCTTGCCTTGAAGGTTCAGCGTCTCGAACTTGCCCTGAAGAATGAGACTGAGAAGGTTGCCGCTCTAGGGAAGGAGCTAGATGCTGAGAAAGTCGCCTTCGGGGCTTACAAGGAGAAGGCACGCAACAAAGTCCTCACTCAGCATCAGGCGGGCTTTGCTCAGGCGGCTCGGCAAGCCAGCTACTTTGGGGACTTTCCCCCCGACTTCCATTTGGACATGACTAAGGATTTCTACCAAGGGAAGTTGGTGGACCTGGCTTGTATTCCAGCCGACCAGCCATCCGATGAAGAAGCCCCGGCGCGGCCAACTAGGCCAAATGAGGAGGAAACGGCGTACGAGGAGGTTGCGCCTGAGGATGGTCCAGTTCAGGGGGAACCGGAAGTAGGATCTTGAGCTTCTTTTTCTTTCATGTATTAATGGGTCGATAGTGCCCCGTTTTAAATGTACGCTTGGCCGATAGTGCCTTTTTTGTTAATGAATTTACTTTTGTCGTCACACATTGATGTAACTGTTGGCCTTCATAAAAACGCAAGTGATGTAAGCCGCTTCCTTGTCTGAGAGACATCTCGGGAAGGAATACTAATTAAAGCCACATCCTTGGCCGAGAGACATCTTGGGAGGGAAGACTTGAACAAAATAATTAAAGCCACATCCTTGGCCGAGAGACATCTCTTGAGGGAAGACTTTGAAAATAATTAAAGCCACATCCTTGGCCGAGAGACATCTCTTGAGGGAAGACTTTGAAAATAATTAAAGCCACATCCTTGGCCGAGAGACATCTCTTGAGGGAAGACTTTGAAAATAATTAAAGCCACATCCTTGGCCGAGAGACATCTCGGGAGGGAAGACTTGAAAATAGTTGTGAACAAATATCTAACAATATGAAGTGTGAAATGTATTCATTAATAAACTGATGCCTCGTTAAAAACCTTGCCGACCAAAAACCCCTTTTCACATTCTTATAAGGGGGAAAAAGATCAGTCAAGGAAAATAGTGCATCGTGATACAATTACATTGTTTAGGCATAACAAAATCCAATTTAACTGTAGTATGTCTTCAAGTGGGTAGAATTCCAGGTTCTTGGGATGACTTTGCCGGACAGTTCTTCCAGCTTGTATGCTCCGTTGTGTAATGCATGTCGGATCCGGAACGGTCCGTCCCAATTGGCAGATAGCTTTCCTTCGGAAGGGTTACGCCTGGCCGACCCGGTTGCTCGCCAGACGAGATCACCTTCATGAAATGTCCTCGGCTTTAAATTGGAATTAAAGCGCCTACTCATGCGTTGTTTGCATGCTTCGGCCACAATTTGTGCCTTTTCTCGTATCTCATCTAGGACACCAAGCTCAGACCGGAGCGAGTCATTGTTGGATTCTTCATGAAAGTGCTGTCGTCAGAATGAGGGTTCTCCTACCTCAACCGGAATCATTGTGTCTGCGCCGTATGTTAGGCGAAAGGGTGTCTCTTTGGTTGTTGATTGTGGTGTACATCAGGATTTCCGGTAATTCGTCGGCCCATCCTCCTTTCGCCGCACCGAGACGCTTTTTGAGCTCATTAAGTATAACCTTGTTTGCTGCTTCGGCTTGCCTGTTTGACTGGGGATGTTCGACTGAGGTGAACCGGTGCCGAATGCCAAGGTTTTCAAGGAAAGTGTTAAACTTCTTGTCAGTGAATTGGAGGCCGTTGTCCGAAATGATGGCATACGGGATTCCGAATCGGGTAACCAGATTTTTCCAGACGAACTTCTGGACATTGGTTGCGGAGATGCAAGCAAGCGGTTCGGCTTCTATCCACTTTGTAAAATAATCTACTACAACCAGGAGAAATTTGACTTGCCTTTTACCAGGGGGAAAGGCCCAAGTACATCGATTCCCCACAAGGAGAATGGCCACGGGGAGCTGATGCTGTGCAACTCGGCGGCTGAGGCGTGGATAAGGTTCCCATGCTTTTGACATTGCACACATTTCTTAACGAACTTGGCGCAATCTTCTTTCAGAGTCAGCCAATAATAACCAGCTCTCAAAACTTTAGCCGCCATGGTTCGTCCGCCCGAGCGCGAACCACATATGCCCTCATGTATTTCTCGTAAGACGTAATCGGCTTGATGGGTGTCAATACACTTGAGTAACGGGGTGGAAAATCCTCGCCGATACAGCTCGTTAGCCACTACTGAATACCGAGCCGCCTGCGTTCGCAATTTTTTAGCGTCCAACGGGTCGGTTGGTGCCTCCCTTCGGACAATGAAATTCCGGATGGCAGTCATCCAGGTCGGTGCCTCAGTATTGGTTGCCATGCACTCTCCCGTCACACTAGGAGAGGGAATCTCGAGGTGAATGGTTGTTCGCAATTGCCCTGGCTTTCGGCTGTTGGCGAGCCGAGCTAACTGATCGGCCCGTTCGTTATTGTTACGCATGACGTGTCGTATCTGCACCTCGGTGAAATCATCCTTGAGCTTCTGGAAGAGGTGATAGTATTGTAACAAGTTGGAGTCCTTGACTTGAAAATTATTGTTGACCTGTTCGGCCACGATCTTAGAGTCGGTCCAACATACGATTCTCTTGACACCCATTTCGGTTGCTAACCACATCCCGGCTAGCAATGCTTCATATTCCGCTTGGTTGTTAGAGGCTCGGAAGCCGAAACGGAGGGATTGTTCTACGGTGATGCCGGAGGGACTAGCTAGAATTATCCCTGCCCCACTTCCTTGGGCGTTAGAGGAACCGTCAACATGCATGGTCCACGGCTCGTTCTCAAAACAACCCGGGGGAGTGAGCTCGTTAACAAAGTCGGCTAAATGTTGTGACTTGAGGGGGCCCCTTGCTTCGAAAGACACATCAAACTCGGAAAGCTCGACCGACCATGCCATCATTCGGCCGACAATTTCCGGTTTTCTTAGGACTTTCGCGGCCGACAATTTCTGGTTTTCTGAGGACTTTCGAGATAGGACAGTCAGTTCGGACTACGATCTTATGACTTTGGAAGTACTGCCTGAGCCGTCGGGTAGTATAAATGAGCCCCAGGGCTACCTTTTCTATCAGCTGGTAGCGCCGTTCGGCATCTTGTAGTGTCCGACTAATGAAATACACCATTTGTTGTTCATCTTGCCTCTCTTGAATCAAAACGGCACTGATTGAGGTACCGGATACGGCTAAATAGACAACCATGTCGAGGTTGGCAACTGGCTTGGAAAGGACCGGAGGTGCGCTAAGATGTTCCTTGAAATGTTGGAATGATGCCTCACACTCCGGGGTCCATTTGAACCGCTGAGTCTTCTTCAATAAAAGAAGGATAGGCCTAGCTATTTCGGCCAGGCAAGGGAGGAACCGAGAGAGGGAGGTGAGCCGGCCTGCCATCTTTTGAACCTCCTTCAGAGTACTTGGACTTTTCATATCTAGAATGCTTGGCACTTGTCAGGATTTTCCTCAATGCCTCGGCTGGACAGCATGAATCCCAAAAACTTACCGCCTGAGACCCCGAACACACACTTCTCGGGGTTGAGCCTCATTTGGTGGTGCCGAAGCGCCTGAAACACCTCGGCCAAGTCTTGTGCATGTGCTAATACGGTACTTGACTTTACCACCATGTCATCGACATACACCTCCATGCTTCGGCCAATGTGATTATTGAAAATTTTGTTCATTAACCTCTAATAGGTAGCTCCGACGTTTTTCAATCCGAAGGGCATCACTCGATAACAGTAATTAGTCGTTTCGGTGATGAACGCAGTTTTCTCCTCGTCTTGGGGGTGCATACAGATTTGATTGTATCCGGAATATGCGTCCAGAAACGACAAAAATCTGTGACCAGATGCCCCATCCATAAGACGATCAATATTTGGTAGGGCGTAGGCGTCCTTTGGGCACGCCTTGTTTAAATTGGTGTAATCGGTGCACATGCGCCATTTCCCATTCGGCTTCTTTACCATGACTACATTGGCTAACCAGGTTGTATAATGCACCTCTCGGATGAACCGAGCATCTAACAGCTTGCCAACCTCCGCCTCAATTATCGCCTTCCTTTCCTCTCCGGCCTTCCGACGCCTTTGGGCAATCGGCCTTGCCTCCTTGCTTACTGATAGCTTGTGGCAAAGAAAGTTGGGGTCAATGCCGGGCATATCAGACGAGCACCAAGCGAATAAGTCATTGTTTTCAAGGACCACTTGCTTGAGGGCCAGGCGCTCTTGTTCGGATAAATTGGTCCCCAGGTAGGTGACTTGGGCTTCGGACATTCCCACCCGGAAGGGTTGCTTATCTTCAATAGGCTCAACCCTCTCATCTTGATCAATCCGGAGGTCGAGATCGATGGCCGACTGCTGTGATACCGAATGCACCCCTGTCGATTTTGTTGCTTCGGGCTTCATTTCCGGTAATCGCAAACTAACGAAGTAGCACTCTCGCGCGGTTTTTTGATCAGCGTGAACCGTGATTACTCGCCCTGAGTCAGCTGGAAACTACATAGCCAGGTGTGGAGTGGAGACGATTGCACCGAGCCGATTTAAGGACGGCCGTCCAAGCAAAATGTCGTAGGACGTCTTGGCGTGCACCACCACATATTTGACCGAAACGTCTCTGTACTCGGTTCCTTCAAACCCAAACCGGGTTGACAACTTGATATACCCTTTTTTTTTTACTCTTTCTCCTGAAAATCCTACCAAGGGTTCATCGTACGGAATCAGTTTGGCCTCTGGGATGCCCAATTGTTTGAACGTGTTCCAATAAAGGATATCGGCTGAGTTTCCCTAATCCACCAATGTCTTGCGCACAATGAAGTTGTGAATTTCCACACTAATTACCATGGGATCATCTTGGTATGGGTCGATACCTTTGAAGTCGGCCTCGGTGAAAGTTATGGTGGGTAAACGGTGACGAACAATTTCGATGGCGTGCACGTGACGAACGGCCCGGAGGTGTCTACGCTGCGCCGATGAAGACGAACCACCGCCGGCAAAACCGCCAGCGATGGTGTTGATGACTCGCCGAGGCTGCGCTGAAGGCTCTTCTCGCCTTTCTCTAGACCGACTGCGTTCTCGATATGAGCGACTTTCTGTCCTTCTTTGTTTGGCCTGATCGTCCCGTCGTGACCGGTGGGTGTTCCGGGATGAGTGCGGGCGATCAATAAAACCCTGCAGTTGTCCTTGCTTGATTAGATCTTCAATTTTATCCTTCAAGGCCGCGCATTCCCCCGTTGAATGCCCTCGATTGCGGTGATACCTGCAAGATTTCGTTGTATTGGCCCTAGGAGGGGTCGAAGCTCGTTTCGGGATGGACAGTACATCTGAGGCCAATGCTTGTTCTAGCACTGCTAACCGACTGGTATTGAGCAGTGTGTATTGTGAATACCTTGGGCCACGAGGGGTCCTCTCGCGGGGTGCTAATTCTTTCGGACGGCTCTGAAAATTGTTTTCAGTCAGCTTTTCAGGCCTAGTTACGGTCTCTATTCTGGCTTGATTGCGGAACTCCGCTAGTTCCTCCATTTGCATGTATTTATCGGCTCGTCGCCGCAAGTCATCCATATCGGTCAGCGGTTTTTTGCAGATGTTGTTGGCAAAGGGACCAGGTTTTAGGGCGGTTGTGAGATGATGTAGAGCTACAGCAGGGTTCAGGTCTCAGATTTCGAGAGCCGCTTTGTTGAATCGGCTCATGAACGTTCGAAGAGACTCCTTTTTCTCTTGGCGTATGCTAACTAACGCCAACGAGGTCAGCTGATGAGGACGGCTGGTGGCGGACTGGATTGTGAAATGGGAGGCCAACGAGCCGAACGAGTCGACAGAATTGGCTGGGAGTCGGGTAAACCAGCTCAGTGCTCGTCCCTTCAACGATGTCGAAAAGATTCGGCATAACGCGGCGTCGTCAGTGGTGCTTAGGGTAACCTGTGTCAAGAACACATCCACGTGCTCATCTGGGTTAGTGGTACCGTCGTACTTGTCCAAGGGCAAGGACTTCCAATGGTCCAGAAGTGCCGACTGCATGATATTCGGGGTAAAGGGGTGTCGATGTACTCCGGTCGGTATTGGTTGTATCGGTCGACTGACCGAAGCGTGGACGGCTGGGGTAGCCACAGAAGTGTGAGGGGTAGAGGTGTGATGGCCGTGTGAGTGGAACGACCCTTGAGTGTGGGTCGTCTCAGAGGGTTTCCACGTGGGATCTCGGTACTGGTTTTTGAGGGCAGCATTCTCCTCTCTCAATGTGGCCATCTCGGCAGCATCTCTCTCTCTTTGCTGTTTCATGGCGGCCATTTCTTCCTTCATTTGACGCATCATTTCGGTGAAGTTTGTCTCCTCTACCGTTTCGGCCCCGGACTGGTGCTCGTCTTCAGATTGGTGCTCTTCAACATTAGTCTTCCTCGTCTTCACCATGATTCTCTTCAGTGTTATGCTCTATTTGTTTTTGCAGATCTCTCGGTTCGGCCCCACGGTAGGCGCCAAAATGTACCTGTCTGAAGGTACACTCGTAGTCTTCTGTGGGGAAGGGTCGGACGAGAGCTTAAGATATATACTTCGGAGAAGGGGGAGGTACCTGCAAAAGGCACTCCGACGCTCAAGTCAGTATAAGTACGATTTCTCACAATAATTAATGAACAGTGACGTACCTCGATATAAGTGACCTATTTATACTTTTACAGGTGGGCCTTGTCAATAGTGGGCCTCTCCTAATCTTACCAAATTAGGTAATACAGCCCTAATCAGCCAATTGTGTCTTAATCATGTGCTTACCGCTATTAACCACGATTAGTATTATAATCCTTGCTTTGTTCTTCGGCATATCGCCGAACCGACAGGATAAGGCTGTGTTGATCGTCTCGGCCGTTGGCCGGGCCGATACACATTTGATGTTGTTCTATTCGGCCGGCATTTGGCTGAACCGATACAATCCCCAAATACATCCATATAATCCCTCGTTAGTCGTTACACTATTTTTTTTCATAAACTCCCTCCACTTTTCGTTGTCCTTTTATTGTGTATTTTGGAATTATGCAAATAAATTTGAATATATGAATACTCACCGGTTCCGACATGATTTGGATAAGGAAAAAAATATACTTTTGCTGAATTTTGAATTTGGACTTCTCTTGAGTGAATTAGGTTTGGTATGTGTCTGCATATTTAATAGGTCATGATTAAAATATTTATTAAAATATATATGGTTTTTCTTTGATCAAATTAAACTTTCAAATTTTTTATATTTATTCACTCTTTTATTATTATCGTCATTATTATTGGTAACAGTGATTATAGATTCAATTAAGGACGAATCTATCTTTATGTAAATTGAGATAAATGTTCTACTAATTTTTTTATATTCACTGTTTTCTATATATATATATATATATATATATATTATTTATCATGTTAAAAATTAAGTAATTTTTTTTTATATTGTAAAAAAAATTAAAATTAATATATTATTTTTGAAGTATATTTTTTTAAAAAAGATATATTTGAGTGTAACTTGCTAACTTAATTTTTTTTTAAAATAAATGAATGTAAGTTATCAAATATATATAGTGCACACATACAACTCATATCATTCAGCAAAATCAACATCTAACAGCTTATGCGTCGTTACGCATTTCAACTCGAAGATCTCCTACAGCAAGGGTGAGCAGTCTAAGTGGCTAGGTCCCACCGAACCGAAAAAAAAAAACCTTTTTGGTTTGATAGGTAAACAACAATTTGGATATTAATCTGCAACTTCACGATTTCTCAGACTTTTCCACTTAAACAAGGAAGTATGGTACTATGTCAGGATAGAACAGTTGGGTTTAGGCCTACCATGACATTAGCTAGCTTAACTAAGCCACCTATGGAATTAGCCTACCGACTATCCTCCAAATACCACAACCTTCCGATACTCAGTTAGGAACTAAGTTCCCGACTTCGTACTTTACTCGATTGGCCGCTTGTAATCGGTATAGCTCGACTTGGCCCCTATATCGTGGTCGCTTTGTACACGTGTGCCTCGACCTTGCCCACACACGGGACCAACTAAGTACTTAGAGGAGAATAACACAATGACCACTCCAAGGGACAGCTTCCCAAGGAGTGTTTTCAACAAATTGGGCTCTAAGAGCACCACAGCTTCCTCAATCCACACAATGGGATGAACAACTTCGAAAAAATATCTCCTCTAGTCTTAGTGGTCAACAGCTCGGCCTTACAGCCTACACAGCGTATCATCAACAACACAGCTAAACTATTTTAAATAGTCTATTCAACACTCAACACAACTCAGCTTAACAGCATTAATAGCTTAGACAGCATACGACACAGCTCAGCATAACAACATTAATCAGCATAAGCATCATACAACACAACTCATCTTTACATCATACAACATAAACATCATACAGCACAACTCAACTTTACATCATACAGCTTAAACATCATTATTAAGTAAAACACCTTCACGTTCAGCGCAATAGAATTTGCACCCGGCCTGAACCAACCAGAGAGCTCTAAAACTCTTACGTGCTCGACACAATAGAAGGAAGAGACTCCCAAGAGTCTCACAAGTCCGGCATACCAAGCCCACGCTCGGCGCAAGTAAGGCAGAGACCTCACCAAGTCTCACGCCCAGCGCGCTCATTCTGTGCCTAGCGCCAACCCAAGCAAAGACCCCAAGGGAGTCTCGACGCCCGGCGAGATCTAATCATGCCCGGCGTCATACCAGTAACCCAACTTCTTGAGTCCCTATCTGATATCACGCCAAGTGCGGTTCTCTCACGCGCGGCGTGAGCCATCTAGGGGCTTCCATTCCCAAGCTCGCCTGACGCAACCAACCTTGCGCCCGGCGTGCTTGATCAATGGAACTATCTGATGGTTACACGCCCAGCGCCAAGAACTACTCCCGGCGCAATATCAAACAGCAACCCTCAAACTTCAAAAATTTCACCCAAAACCTGCAAAATCAACCAGCTCAAACACATGCAATCCATCAAATGAACCACATTTTCAGAATACGACTCAAAAATTAACTCCTTTCCAACATGCAACCATCAAACACCTAGAAATCCCAATTTTTCCCGAAACCCCGAAGACGCAATCTCCTCAAATCTGACCATCATTTTTCCAAAATCAAACCACATTTGAGTTTCTAAACTTACTTCCAAACAATTTGAACGAATCTAGCTTCCTTTACCTCGGAGGAGAAGAATCCGAGCTTCCGGGAACGAGTAGGAGAAGACGAAGAGAAATGGACAAGGGAAGAAGGGAATTTGCGCCCTCAGCTAGCTCCGTACGCCTCTAATCAGCACTTACAGCCACCAAGGAATTTGAGAATGATAAAACAAGAAAGGAGAGAGTGGGAAGAAGAAAATGAGAATGAAAGGAAATGTTGAGAGGGAGGGGGGAGAAGGAGGGAGCGGGTCTCACATAAGAACATTGTCCTTACTACTTAAAATTCATGGATCTATCATTGATTTCAACGATGAGAGTGATAAAAATTATAATAAAGGCAACTATTTAGTAACTTTATTTATAATATTTTAATCAAAACCACTTGTTTCAATTTAAGGGTTGAGATTAACACTTTAATTCTTAAATAAATATGTTATTATAATATATATTATGATAGTGAAATTTTTATGAGAATGAAAATTATCACTTTCAATTGTCAAATTAAAATAAAATATCTTGATTAAAATATTCATTAAAATGTATTAAAATATATTATTTATCATATTAATTTTCTAAGTTTCTCTTACTCACCCACCATCATTGTTACTTATAGTAAAATAATTTAAATTTCAAAAATAATTATATAACAAAGTTAAAATTATACGTCTTACTAAAATATAATTTAACTGTCATTTTTTATTTTAAAGTTATTTTATACTTATAAATTTTTATATATTGATTAAATTAAAATGTAATTAACAAATTGATATATAAATTTTAAAATATATATAAGTAAATTATATTGTGAAAAAAGATATGATGAGTTTCTCGCAGGTTTACTCGACGGGAATACGTTTAAACAATATAAATCAGCCTATGTTAAATATGAATCCAAACTTGCTTCGTCTTTTACAGGGACGACCCAATTAATCTTTTGCCATTCCTATTTGAAATGTGAAGAAAGGAAAAAACTAAATTGAAGTGTTGGAGGCGATTTTTTTCCCCCACAAACTTTTAATAATTGCTTCTGTCAATGGATAAAAAAAATGTTACTTCTGTCCAAATAGTAGCTAATAAATGGAAATAGATCAACAAAAATGAGCAACTATTGAAAGACATTTATAACATAGTTAAATTGATATAATCTTGTAACATTATACCATATTTTACTCAAAATTAGACAAATAAATAATTCAACAATCTCTCACTTAAATGACAACTAATTATTAGATTGATGAAACTATAATATCAAATAGAAACTACAAAAACAACAATTTAAGTGCAGAAATGTTGGGTAGAAAATTAATCTAATATCTTTTGAAAATAAGATTGATGTCATAATCAATTTTTTGATACTTCAATTTCTATACGTAGAAAAAGTTATTCCTAGGTTTGGTTACTAAAAGGAGAACAAATTGGAAGGGTTATTCAGTTAACATGTGTTTAGAAATAATTGAGTCAAAGTGTTGCTCGAATTTTGTTATCCCTGCTATCGACAATGATTATTAGCTTTTGGTGTACTTGTTTTTGAAATCCATGGCAAGTTACTTTGGTGGTTCTAAGTGTTGGTGTACTTGTTTTTTTTTTCTAGTGGATGACTAGTGTGATAAGATAATGAGTATCATAGGGTTGGGATATAAGAGAGGGTTTCTTGGATATAAAAAAAAAAGTGTTGCACTATAGACTCTGATGAGTTTGTAAAAAAATCTAAAACGTTATTAGGAGACTAAATCCATATCACAAATGGACTGAACCAAGATAAAACTACAAAGTCATCTTCTCTACACTATCTCTTTGTTGATTTGTATTTTTCTTGATTAATTCGTATTGTTCTTTTACTATGATTTTTGTTATTCGAGTTAATGAGGTTTTCTCTTCGCCGTCTTCTTAATTATATTCTTCATGGATAAAAGGTTTTGGTCTCAATTTTTTTTAAAAAAAATTCGCTCCCTCTTGTGTTATTAAGACCCATTGGTTAACAATTTCTTATAAAAGCGCTTCTTCTTAAATTGATTTAAGTGTGGTAGTTTGTGGAGGTTAGGGATTTTCTTCAAGAACAACCCAAACAGCTTTGATACTTACACGGATTATTACTGAAAGAGGAATTGATCTTTTGCAAAATGCTTATGTTATGCTTTTGAAAGTTTGTAGTATATTTTAGAGTTTAGACTATCTTAATTCATTTACTTTTGTTTTGATAGAATCAATGCATGTCACGTGAGTTGATAGTTTTAGTTTTGGAAAAGTTCTGAACACATATTTGAGTATGTTTCTTTTGATATAACATTCATATTGCTTTTGCAACATTGTTGAGATAAATTCTGCAGCTTTTGTTCATAATGCAATTTTTGGCACAACTACTTATCACTTATTGTAGTTTCTGAATTGCTGCACTTTGATATTCTACTGCTCAAATTTCATCTTCTAACTTTGATCTTCTACACTTATCATAGAATCAAATAATTATTTAATCTTAAATTACTTTAGTATTTAATAGACACGCATTATCAATATAAAAATTATCTCACTATCAATCATTAAAAGTATTATTAATATGAGATTTTTAAGTAATTATTATAAAAGTTAGTAAACTTACTATAAATATCAATTTATAATTGGATTAAAATATATGTAAAAAAGAACTTTATACTACCAATATATTTATTATTTATTTTTTAATTTATTTAATTTTCATGTAATGTCAATGTAAATATCTTTACAATATCAACCAATAAGAAATTACTTTTTTTTTAAAGATAGGAAAAATTATAAAGATAGATTGAATCTAAGTCTCCATTCTTCTAACTATCCCAATCATTCCCTACCCAATCACTAAGTTAATTCTAGTGATTTAAAATAATAATAATTATAATAAAGTGCTCATGGCTGGTTTTAGTTTGACTTTATAGTAATGATTTTTATGAAACACATGGATATGTATATATTATATAGAATATAATATGATATGATGTTGTTAAGTAATAAAATAAAATCGTATTTGAAGGAAAAGGCATAATTTTTTGTCATATTTAATTAATGAATCTTAAAATTAGTTAAGTTAGGATATGTGTATGTTTAATAAAACACCATGTTTACCGGATAGTATCTCCTACTAAAACTGTTTGAATTTTTCTTCTTTTTTTTGAGTTGTTGAAAAACTGTTTTATGTTAGAACGACTAAAATTAAGTTCTCCATCCATATAAGAAAAAGTGAAGTTCGCAAATCAATTCAAAAGTTATAAGATTCGTGGTAATAAGTGAGGATTGATATTTATGCCTTTAGCAACAGGACAAAAGCAAAGTCACTTTTGCATGACCCATATCTTCAATTGGGTTTTTGACCTCTTGTAAAGGTACACAACATGTAACTTCACTTTGCAGTAACGTTTGACCAATGAAAAGAGAAGAAAAGACTAATAAACAATTATCACCAATAAGATGAGAGAAAATAAAAGTAGTGGTTGTTCTAATCTTCAACTTGTTAAATTATATTTTTAGAAATAAACGATCAAAGGCAGCTGAAGATTTGGAGTTCTAACAACCAACAAATTATGAAAAGGTAAAACCACCACTAGCAATTGTCTGTAACAAGAATGGGGATATTTAAACATCGTCAGTGGCACAAAACATTTTAGAAAACTGTTTTCACTGTTTCAACATGTAGAATTTAATGAAATTTAGATGAAATCACGGAAGATATTTGTTTCCAAAAATCACGAGCCTTTACTGATTAGATTAATCATCAAGAAAAGATGAAAAGAACAACACGCATTCCTCCATGTGTTTCAGTTGCCCAACACAAACCATATTCTCGAACCCTTTATATAGCTAACAACCTGATTGTTGAACACAAAAATGTTCTTTAAAGATACTCGACAAAAACGTGAAAAATGCAAGCATTTCCCCTACTGAGCTATTAAGCTCTCATGTTAACAGTGGAACGAAATCGAGGTTATAAGTATGGGTCAATGTGAAATATCAATTATTGAAAACAATGATTTTCTCATAACGCGATATCTTAGAAATATCAATAAATTTAGCCACATGCGTCTGAAGGGATATTTTAACTCTTCAGTACAGTACAAATTTTCCAGCTTAGTTTGGTAGTGATGTTCATATCCAACGCAGGATGTTTGTGGATTCATGCACTGGCTAATGGAAACCAAATAAACCGTACAAAGATTACGTTCCACTTAGTGTCTCCCAACAGACCAACTTGAATAGCTTCCATTCCAGCACGTCAATTATGCTTGTAGGTATTGTCTCAACAAAACAACAACCACAGCTCAGCACTGAGCAACGCAAAAACGTTAATTGGGTAGTACTTAGTAACATCAGGGAGTGCCAAAAAAGCATTCTTTAAATGAAGGTTGCTAGCCAAATATTTTCAGGTGTTGCCTTCAAAAGACATCCATCTAGTCTAGACTCTAGAAACAATGGAGATGATACTAACCCATACTACAACTAAACTAACCTAACTATAACCATGCTAGCAACAAGAAGATAATTACCACAAACGATGAACAGCTACGCGATACAGGGCTTAAATTCTTTTGATTACTCCAGCCATAGGAAGAAAAAATTAATTGCTGTGCGTAAGAACTGACATGCAGAAGACAAGCACGCAGTTAAGAGGAATAAACAGCAAGAATAAATACCCACTTCTAGCTTCTCCGACGCTTCTTTCCACTCTTGGCCTCACTTCCTTTTGCCTTTGATGAACCTGAAGTCTTGCCCTTGACCTCTTCTACATCTGCTGAAACATCGGAGTTATCATTCTCGGGATCTTTTCTCTTCATTAAACCAGATTTCACCTTGCCAGTACCATTAACATCAGTCTTTCCACCACTTTTGGGAGGTTTTCCTTTGGAAATGGCAGTCTTTGGGGTTTCTAGCTTGGATTTTCCACTTTTAGCAGTTTCTTGCTTAGACTTCGCAGAGGGTTTTGGCGTGCTAGTGTCATCATCCTTTGATTCGTCTGACTTGGAAGTATCAATGTTCTTGGACTTATTACTCATTTTTTTAGCAGCAACAATAGATTTACTGCTACCACTTTTAGGAGTGCTGTCCTTAGATTTTCTACTAACTTCTTCCTCTGATTTGGTATTGGTCTTGGAATCTTTGGATTTGTTGCCATCTTTGGACTTCTGGTTAGACTTCATGGATACACCCTTTGATCTACTGGATGCTGCTGCTGCTCCACTGCTAGAAATTGAAGTAAAAAATTAGATATCAAACAAGGGGTGGCACTGAAATAGATTTATTGATATGCACCAACCTTCTGGAAGGACCATCCATTTTTCCTTGCTTGGTTGATTCTCCAGCACTAGTTTTCCCTTTCTTCTTTGGTGCCCTGAATAGAACCAAAGAACAATGCAATGTAAATAAGACCAAACAAAAAAACAGCTGGAAACCACACCATCTACGTCACAGCATCAAAGAAAATCACAAAGTACTGCAATAAACAAGACATGCCCATTTGAATCCTTCGAAACAAAGGGAAAACATGAAACAATCTACTAACATGTTCTTAATTGAAAAAATTCAATCTCCATTTTCCAATGCAGCACATAGTCCTATTGCTTCAGGAGGAATACAAATAGCCATGTTTTACAATTTGGCACTTTTCCATCTATATATAGTTATACGCCAGTTAAAATATTTCTTTTAGCACTCAATACAATTTATCAATTTCATGCACTGGATTTCCAACAGCATCAATAACTAAAGGACATGGACATAATAGGACAAATCATACGCTCCAAATCAAGGCACCGATCATTCACAAATCACATTGAAAAAAGCAATAGGCTCAGGTTTTGGGGTCACATATCTCATGTTGCTTTCTTTCAAACAATGTATCGAAGAAATCAGTAACAAGCAACAACACACAACAGATAGAGTTTCTGCAATAGGGCAATATCACAATATATGCACACCCCATAAAAACATCCATTAAAAATTAGGATAATACAGCCAAAAGATTTATCTATAAAAAAAACCATCAATATATGCAACACATACATGTCAGTGGAAGCATCAAGGCTTGCTCGATCACTTTCTTCTTCCTGTCAATAGAAAAAATTGCCATTAATTTGGATGCAGAGAAAATTTAGTATAAAAAGTACAAGGCATAGACCAACCCCATCGGCATCTGAGTCAGCTTCAATGACTTTCCATTTTTCTTTCATAAGATTTAATATTTCTTGATCACCATCATCATACAAGACCTAAAATAGATAACAGGTGTGAGAAGATAAAACAGAGGGTTCATTTGGATAAACTTAGAAAAAATGCTTTTATGAAATACCTTTTTTTTCACATTCTATTCTTTCTAGAGAAAAGCACTAATAATGTTAAACATTTGACTTTTTTCAATTTAAAAATCACATTTTTCATTTAAAAAGCATTTTTTCCCTTCAAAAAAAGCTCAAACAAATGGGACATACTAGTATATTAAATTTTTTGCCAATCCAAATGTATCCCTAAAATAATATGCCATCTAGACCTTCCATTAAATTGTTAATGAAGATGTTTAAATGGGCAAAGCATACAAGATTTTTTTATCAGTGATGGCAGGTAGAGAGATGACTTAATAAACTATCAAATCACCTTGTGCTTTTTTTTGGCAGAATCAAAAGAATGAATAGCACCTTTGTAAAACCTGTAAAGATTATGTCAGTGAAAAATATAAAATAAATATCTATTGCATCAAAATTAACATGCAAACTGATCATAAGTATGTGATGCGAGTGAACTCAAAAGCCCATACACCCTAGTTTAATTCAAGTATATATTCTCTCCAGCTATTTCACATTAAAGCTTTCTCAAATTAATTTATATATAAGGTACCTATTACAATTAATAAGAAGTAATTTGTGTAATTATGATAAGGCACAGTTAACATATAAACTATCAAAATGAATTAACAAAAAAATAAATAAATAAAAATAACCCAATAAGGGAAATCTTGAATTCAAACCATCAAGATCATCATAACTTCAACAAAAAGGTTTAACAAAGATACATGTAGTAATGTAATTGTAATATACATAATGCAAATATGATTAACACAAATCAACATCACTCCAGATTAAGAGGTAAAAAAATCATGTTAACCAAAATTTCCAGTGACAGCAAGTAAAAATTGAAGTTATGCTAAGTACTTACTCCCGATCCTTAGGCCACCAAACTTTGACCCGCAAACCAACAAGGTTTTCACCATATTCCTTCATATCAGACCCCTGATACAGCAGCCAGATAATTAGCCATCAGTGCGAGAAGAAAATGGAAGTGCTGGAATTAGCAAGACATAGCTACAGAAAGGATTTTCCCAAAGGGAAAGTACCCTAACAAATATATCTTTGAAGCTTCAACATTATAATTTAAAATTTCAGAATGAACAGAATGTATACATTATCTTTTCCAGAAGTGCGTTTCCTTTTCACATTTGTCTTGGGAATCTCCTCTGAATTTTCATCTTTAGTTGATTTTGTACCAGATCTTGGAGAAGAAACCATTTCCTACAAAATTAACAATGATTCCTCTAATGAATTATTTTTTAAAAAGAACAAAACAGGATAAAATCACGTCACAATAATGGTAATATACAGCAACAAAGAGGAAAGCACTATATAAAGCACAAAATCATACCTTGTCTACATCTATAGCAGATGATTTTGCTACATCTGTTTCAGAATTAGCTTTCCCCCGCGCTCCCTTTTTCTTGTTATCTACCTGTCTTGAAGAGGATCCGCAACTGCCCTTTTTGTTTTCATCTAATTTCTTGGCTGAATGTTTTTTAGCATCTGCATCATTTGTAGCACCGCTTCCTTTTTTTACTGAATCTACCACACTATTTTTTTTCACATCAGAGTTTTGAACAAGGGCCTTTTTCGCTGACCTCCGGGCAGGTTTGGCTTCAGAATCACCAACTCCTCCCGACACCTTTGAAACATCCTCGGCAGTCTCTTCTTTTACAGGGCCATCTTTCTTTTTTGCCCGTCCAACTCTCTTCAAATTATTTTCTTCATACAGGCTCTCCCTTGGTGGAGAAGGAACAATTTCAGATTCATCATTGCATGCCTTTGGTGATGAAATCTTATCATCAATTTCTTTGTCATTCTGTGAAGGTCCTGCTGCTTCAACAGAATGGTCCTCAGGAGGGGAACTGGGAACTTTCTTACTGTTGCTTTCATAGTCGACCATTTTCTCAGCTTCTTTCTCCTTAGCAGCAACTTGAACCTTGGAAGGTTTTGCCAATTTTGTCGAAGAGCTTGTTTTCTTTCGTCGTCTCTTGGAAGCCTGTTCTGGCTTTTGCTGACTATTGTCAACTTTTACAGTATTCACATCATTAAGCACCTCATGACCTTCCTCTTTCTTTTTGATGGACTTGGAATCAGCTAAAGCATTATCTTCTCCAACACATGCAACACCATTGCTCATGACCGACTTTGGAGATGTATTCGCATCAGGATTATCTTGTTGAGAAGATGTAACCTCCCTTGAATCCTTTTTATCGACCTGATCAAACCAGAACCGACATGTTTCAGTTTTCAATTCTGGAAGATAATAAATATCTAGAACTTCAAGACACATAAAAAAATCGGAAGCATAGAAGTGAGTGCATACATGTGTTGACTCTTCAAGAGATTGTTTTGCTGACTCACTCTTATCTTCCTGAAAGATGTCAAAAATCAAAATGGCCAAAAGAAAATTTCATGAATTTTCTCATCCGGAAATGTTTCAAATATTAATTGGCAAAAGACCTGCGGAAAACTTACCACATGCTCACTAGTAACACATGTATCATTTTTCTCCAAGTCATCAGACATATCTTGGCATATTGAAGCAAGTACCGCACTATAATCATCTAGAGATAAACCCAAAGATTTCACTGCTTGAACCAAGTAGGGTTTAAGCTTGGTTGCACAACTTTCAAGGACCCTCTCCCCCAATTTTTGGGCAATTGGAGAAACTTCCTAGATCACAATGATTATCAACATCAAGACAGGTAATATTTGAACAACAAAACCAAGGGTCAAGCTTAAAATGTAATCTACTAAAAAAATGAAATTGAAACTGTCAAACTCCAACCTCATTGTCTTTCTTAATGCTGGCCAGGAGTGGAGACAGCAAGTCTATGGATATATCTTCACTTTCTTCTAGAACAAGGGTCATAATTGTTTCCATGGATGTAAAAACAAGTTCTGGATGATGTCCCCTGAAATTTTCAAATGCAGCTGGTTAGAACCATGCCCCAACATTAAGTGTTTCCAACTGTCTTAAAAAAACACAGTTTCATATGTGTAAAAACTATGTTGCACAGGTACAAGTATGAGTACTGGGTTCAATATAATACATAAATACATCAATTTTAAAAAAAATCAGGATACAGATGTGGCAATATATATTAAGCAAAAAAATATACACACACACACAAATATATATATATATATATATATATAATATTGCCTACATTTTATTCACTTTGATTTTTCTTGATTTCTTTATTTTATCTTTGTATAGCTGATATTAACCCTGATTTTTTGCTTCATCATACTTTTGTTGGTCTGTAATCACGTGCAGAAATTACTGAAAAGGCATAACTGTAGTCAAATTTAAATAAAAAAGCTCAATTCAAGTTACAATATTGATTCATTCATTATCCAAAGGAAAAATGTACACAAGGGTTGAAGATAAAGCCAGTCACGTTGTAATACAAGGGCAGCCAAAAATACATGTATCAGTATATGCTACAGGTACAATATGGATACATACAGAATTTTAATGTATTCATGCATCAGAGGGTAAAATTTTATGGAAGAAAGTAATCAGTAATTACACAAGTTAGAAACACATTAAGAATTTAAGATAGTTCAGACATAGTAGTTAAAGATCAGAATAATCAAATTATGTTTAAATAAATTATAAACATCATAGTATTTGAAGCCATGATGATGTTGAACTTGTCCAAATCAGTACTATAAACTTACCTTATTGTTTTCAAGAAATGCTGAAACATCTCCAAAATCAGGGCATCACATTCAAGGTCCAGCATTACCACACATGATCTGACTTTTGCAACAGTTTCAAGAATTGAGGTCCTCTTTGCATATGATCGGCTTGCCTCATCATGTAGATTTTCAAATGAAGATACTATCAATTGGAAGACCTCCTGCACGAAATGTCAACGATGACATTCAATTGATTTACTGATGCCTTTTGTGAGGAGCATGATAATAGTCAAGTCCATTCAAATTGTAGTAGAAAAAATTGTTCACACCTTCATTTGATCATCATCATAAGGAGCTTCAGGTGCAGTGATTCTTGTTATTTCACTAATGCAAGAGGCAACTGCAACTTTGACATCATCATCTGTGTGCCTTAAAAGTTTGGCAGCAATCAATGCTTTCAATGATGGAGAGAGTGCATTTTGCATAGAGTCAGGAGGTGACTGATCAACCCTTGATAGGCAACTCTCAACTCGCTGCATTGCAAAGGAAAAAATAATATGTAAAATCACAAAATGTTCAATACTTTACCCAACAATTTATTTTTTTGATTTTTTTGCCCACAGTAGAATATACAAAATCCTTATTTAAATAAAAAAAAAAAAAACAATATAATTCAACACAAATTTTATTTTTGACTTGCCACTACCCTGATGTTTGAATACACATAATCCACTAGCATTGAGTCTTTGTCTTAAAATATAACTAACTAATATGAAAGAAAATTCAAATTATCCCATCTGCCCCGAAATTAAAAATAAAAAAAAATGTTCCAGAATATGGCTCTTTTAAATGACTTAAAATTAGGATTTGTAGCAAAGGGAAAATAGATAGATAATCCAATCAATCACATGAAAACTTAATTTCAATAGCTTATTTCGGGAAATAAAAAATTATCCAGTTCTCCCAATTGAGGGGCTTGGTAATGTTATTTATGTTTTCCTCACCATTGCAAATATCTAATCACAGAATTGAATATGAATCACATAGACATCAGTGATATAACAATGTTATAACTATCCGATTTTTCAAACATGAGGAAGTACATGGTGTTCTACAATCATTGCAGTACCAAAATGCCTTCTCTAAATAGGTTACATTTACATAACATGTTCACCTCTTCCTCCGAGTATATTATATACTTCTAATTCTAAGTTCTATCCACCGGCCAACTCAATCCTGAGTGCAATACCAGGCATTTCCTATTCGAATGGCATTTCTTGAGTACACAGATCAATAATTCTAACAAATGATAAAAAGCTGAACAAAACCTATTTCAGGACCTAATTCTATTTTATTCAGTTCCATCGCCTATTTCATGCATCCCTAATCAAACACAAGAAGATTGATATTGACTATAATGAATTCCGGCATATTAATCTCCACTTACGAAATCAAACCCCATAAATTTAAGGGGTGCAGCAGAGGAAATAGCACATAATACGATTATATTGCCTGGGATGTCTAGCACACCGAAAAACAATCTAAGGAAGTCTATCGTAACTTGAGATAAACGCTATAACACCTATCAAAGATTATGTGTGAGTTTGTGTTGCTGTTAGCACACTTTCCTATAGAGGTTCAAACTATAACATCGTGTCCAGACCAATTGAGGCCGTAGAATAACAATATGGCATCAAAGGTTTCAAGTACTCCTCCTTTTTTCTACCGAAACCTCACGAAAACGTCACAACCAGACAATTTGAGCCGCGAGATTGCGATTCCCGGGCTCCACTCCGCCTATTGATATGTCACGGATTAAATAAAAAAAGAAATAACATGCACTAACACGCATCAAATAAAATAAAAATAAAAATAAAAACAAAAAAAAAGCGGTTAAAATAATATTTGAAGGGAAAAAAGGAAAAAGAAAAGGCGGTATTACGTCTAGGAGTGGGAGGAGTTCCTCGAGCGACGAGGGAGGATCTAGGAGCTTGTTACCGGCTTCGAGAAGCTTCTCTTCCAATTCTTTATCCGTAGACGCCATTGTTGGTTCCGTCTCTTGGTCCTGATCTTCCACAGAATAGCGCCACTCACCTCGCTTCACTCTATTGAGGCCATAAAACCGTTCCTATGGAACCCGATTTGGAAGTAGAGGTTGTTTCACGACGGGACGACAAGATTAGGGTTTTTCTCTATTTTATTTGCTTTTCCTTTTTCCCCCCTTTTTTTCTGCGATAGAGAGAAAAAACAGAAAGGGCGAGTGACAGAAAAAAGAGAAAGTGAGGTGAGGTGGGTTTTCCGGAATTTTAAACCAAAATATCTCATAAATGTTATCCTCACCTCCTCTAGTATAATATATATATACCACATTAATATGTACCAACAACAACTGTCTTATATATACTTGACAAATAACGCCTAAATTATTAACTTGCACAAAAATATTTTGATTTAATCAATTTTTTTTTTGTTATAATAATGTAATAACTTGAACACAGAGAAATATGTATTATTTAAAGTTGCTAGAAAATAGACCTAGAAACAAAAATACTTGAAAATAAAAGTATATAAAGTTATGTAAAGACAAAGTACTTACGATCTTAGTATAAAAATTATATTTAATTATATTATAATGGATTAAAATTATTAAATTTAGATATATGGTATTAAAAAATTATATTTAATTATATTACAATCGAATAACATTATTAAATTCATATGTAAGGTATTAAAAATGCATTATAAATGTCTAAGTAAAATATATTTTTTTAAAAAGTGCAATATTAAAAAAATTTAAAATACAAAAGTAAGAATAAAATCAAATGTAATAAAATATATTGTTCATAATATATTAAATAAATTAAAAGTAAATCATATAAACTACCTTGTCAATAACAAGGAACATTTGATTTTGGTTTCCACAAATTTAAGACCATTATATTCATTATTAAATGTGTGTTCTTCATCTTGGTAAACTAATAACATTTTTATCTAATTTAATATCCTTTGTAATTTTTTTTACTATTATAGTTTGGTCATTGCACTTTTCTTACTTCCTTCTTCCACACTCCTAGTTTCAGACTTTTTTCTTCTCACATGTCTGTGAAAGTGTGATCACACAACCTTCCACTTTCTATTAACCTCCCTGTTTCCCCCTTCTTTTCTTCATGTCTAATATTTGCCACCCATATTCTTGAGGCAGACCACATCCATTTTTTACTTTCACATTGGACCAGTTCTCCAAACATTCTCGCAACTAATGATTGTTTCTTTATGCTTCTTTAAAAATATTACAAAGGTAACATTCTTTGGTGTATATTTTTTCATTCCTTAATAGTTCACCCGATTATTTCACTCATTTTATTTTGTACATAATATATTTGTATTTGTATTTTTTTTTTCCTTTCATGTAGAAGCAAGGATGTTTAATATCTTTGTAAGCCAGATTTTCATGCTACTTAACTACTACAATTGTAATGGAGAGGAAAAGGTGGAATGAATGTGAAAAAAGTTGTTCTATCTTAATTTTATAACCACCCACTCTTTTTATAGTTACATTTTAATATAAAGGATCTCTTCATGTCTCTAACTCTCTTCTATTCTTCTCATACAGTGTTGATCCCCTTTTGCATTCTCTCATTCATTATTCACCCATATCGATAAATTCTCAAACTTTTTTTGTTTAATGTATTTATCAAGTTAAATAGGATTTTTCATCTAATCACTTATTAGCTTATCTAGTTTTATAATTTATGTTCATTTTCTACTGATATACGTTTTTTTATAGAGTTATTTGATATGTGCTTTTGGCGATTTGATTAATGGATAGGTTTCTTTTTTTTTTCTTCATTTCTCCCCTTTTTTTTATTGTTTCACACTGTTCTCTATATTTGTCTGTTATTACTGTTTTTTTTTTGTGCACATGGCTTACAGTAAGTGAATTCTCTAAAAATTGAACTATTTAGTTATTCTTCGTTTCTAAGTGGATTTTTTTCTACACAATACAATTTTCTAACTCTCAAGTCTTACCCAATAATACTTTTTGTACTGACCGTACCGCGAAGTCGAGCTCCAAGCTCGGCATCATAGTGCAAGATGATCTCGGGCACGCGTCGTACGACGTCAGCTCGGCATTCAGGTGAATCACAACTGATTCCCGAGGATCTCGCCCAGACGAGGTCCATTATCTAATCACTGATTACCGAAGATCTCGCCCTAGACGAGATCCGCTATCATATCTTATCTCAGGCCCAGAGCCCAAAGCAAACCTAATTCACTCCAAGGTACGTGCATTACTTATACGAGACTATTACTCATACAAACCCTAACTTTAGCATCGGAGTCTCTTTTGCAGGTACCACCCCCATCTTGGAGCATCAGCGTACCAGTGAAGGAGGCTCACCAATCTTACTTGGAAGATCGTCCCTACGACAAATTCCGGTAAGAACATTTGGCGCCCACCGTGGGGCCGATCGAGACAGCTCTTATCGGCCACCCGTATGGTATTCACCAGAAGCCACAACAGACGTGCAACAAAGGACGCTGAACACTCAGTCACCATGGACAGCGACGCTGCAACCTTGAGAAGGCTGATCGACCAAGTCGAACAGATGCGCCAGCAACATGACATTGACCTGCGCAACATGCGTGCCAAGCACGAAGCCGACCTGGCCGCAATACGAACCACTAACGAAGTTGACCTAGCGGCTCTGCGCGCGGAAAACAAGAGGGTTCGCGCTCAACCCCAGCGGCAACACTCTGATCACCCCTCCGGCTCTCAACTCAACCCCGGCGGAGCAATGCGAGGCGAGGTAAACCAGGAAGCAGAATCAACTCCCCTGCGGGGAGTAGTCAGTACAATCGCAGGAGGTTTCGCAGGAGGGGGCGCCAGCAGCTCGGCCCGGAAAAAACACCTGCGCAACGTCAACCGCGTACACTTCACTACCTCTGCTTCACATCAGAGCTCGCCGACGATCACTTTCACCGACGACGACTATGCCGGGGTCAACCCCAACCAGGATGACCCCATGGTTATAGCCGTGGCGTTAGCTAATTGGGAGGTTCACAAGACCCTGGTCGACCAAGGGAGCTCGGCCGACATCCTATATTGGCCAACGTTCCTCAGGTTAGACATTCCCCACTCTCTCATACAACCTCACACAGAACCCCTAGTCGGTTTTGCAGGAAGGAGCGTTCACACCCGGGGATACGTGGACTTACTAACCACTTTCGGAGCACCTCCGGATTCAAGGCGGGTCATGGTTCGGTACCTCCTCGTGGAAGCCGACACCTCCTACAACATCATCATCGGCAGGCCAACCTTGAATCACCTCGGAGCGGTGGTGTCTACCCCGTACCTCACCATGAAGTTCTCAGGACATGATGGGAAGATTATCTCCGTCAAAGCAAACCAAAAGGTGGCACAACAATGCTATACTGAAAGCCAAAAAGTTGCCCCACTCGGTGAACAAGGCAAGAGCAACACCACCACTGCGGCTCACACCCGTTGACGAGCTCGATGACCTCCAGATCGGGAAACTCCCCGGGCAAACCACGAAGATCAGCAAACAGTTGACCCTAGAGTTGCGGCAATAGCTCGAAACAGAAATCCTCAAAAACGCCGACCTCTTCGCCTGGTCCAGCGCTGACATGCCAGGCATAGATGCAGATTTCATCTGCCACAGGCTAGCGATACACAAGGAGGCAAAACCAGTCGCCCAGAGGAAGAGGAAGGTCGGCGGTGAAAGACGGGAAGCCATCGTCGCCGAAACACAGAAACTACTCAACGCCGGCTTCATCCGTGAAGTCAGGTACACCACGTGGCTGGCAAATGTGGTCCTGGTAAAGAAGAACTCGGGGAAGTGGCGTACGTGCGTCGACTATACCGACCTAAACAAAGCATGCCCCAAGGACTCATACCCCTTGCCGAGCATTGACAGGTTAGTCGACGGAGCCTCCGGGCACGCCCTCCTCAGTTTCCTCGACGCCTACTCGGGTTACAACCAGATAATGATGTACCCACCTGATGAAGTACATACATCCTTCATCACCAACCACGCTAACTACTGCTACCGAGTGATGCCTTTCGGCCTCAAAAACGCAGGAGCAACCTACCAGCGACTGATGGATAAGGTTTTCCATCAACAGATCGGGAGAAATATGGAAGTTTATGTCGACGACGTGGTAGTCAAAACCACCTCGGCAATAGACCACGCTACCGACCTCGCCGAAGTATTCGCCCAGGTCAGGAAGCATAACATGCGCCTCAATCCGGAGAAGTGCGTCTTCGATGTCCAAGGAGGTAAATTCCTTGGCTTCATGATTACGAGCAGAGGGATCGAGGCCAACCCCGAGAAATGTAAATCCATCATCCAGATGCAGAGCCCACAAACGGTGAAAGAGGTCCAACGCCTAGCCGGACAGTTAGTATCATTGTCCCGATTCATCCCCAAACTCGCGGAGAAGGCAGGACCAATCTTCACCCTGTTAAAAAAACCAACGGGTTTCCTGTGGACAGGTCAGTGCGAAGAGGCTTTCCAAAGCTTCAAATTTTTTCCCACACCCCCCCCGACCCTACAGAGGCCGGATCACAACACCGACCTCCTCCTCTACCTGGCAGTAGCCGAAAATGCCATCAGTGCAGTCATCGTACAAGAGCACCAAAAGGTACAGATACCTATCTACTTCATCAGCCGAGTTCTCCAGGACACGGA